AGAGGGAAACAGAGGAAGAGGTAAAGAGCTACAGTACAGCTTAGGAGTCTGACACACATTGGCTCAGCTATGACTGTGATCAAAGTTTCTGTGGTCATATGCACATATAGTTCAGTTTAAGCAGGCAGTGTGAGTGCGGGGGATATTTTCTGGTCTTAACACACAAATACACAATCATATTTTTCTTCCTCCGTACCACTTGATCTACAGTGTTGATGTGCTCTGGTGTAATGAAGGCTGAATTCAGCTATTTCTTTCAAACAAAAGCAGCATTTGCAGGTTTTAAGCACCCAGTCACCCCACCCTCATCCCCAAGGCACCTTGGCCAAGCATATTGTATCATTGTTTTTGCTGCTCCATGTTTATCACTCGGCTTACTCTAGCTGTCATGAGGAATGTGTATATAAATATGGAATGCACTGCTTCCTGTGTCTGTGAGTGCATGGTTTGCATGTCAGAACAGTACATGCTTGAAATTTAATATTACCAAAAAATGTCCTGTACATATGAACACACAAACAGTGCATGCCAGCCTGGCTCACCCTGTGGTCTGCATTTTCCCCAGTGAGCCAGGCGGCTGCTGTGTTTGCTCCCAACTCTCATTACACTTTCTAACCACTGCAGACCATCCAAGGTGAAAGACACCAGTGTGTCACCTTGTAGTTGTTCTGTAATTACAGGATGGTGGTTGAAGTGACAAATAGTGAGAAATAACTTTCAAAATACACTGTGAAACTGCAGGTGTTGCATGTGTAGGGTTTCTGCTGCATACGTCTGATCATGACTTATTGTGAATTTCTCTTCATTTATAACCCAAAACCTGTGCTAGTGTGTTGCACTATGATGCTTTTATTTCATTGTGATTTAATACTGTTAACACAGCTTGGTTTGTGCTCTCAGATCAGCCATCCTCCTCAGAGATGACCACGGGCAGGACAGTCTGATCAAAGCACAGTCCTCATTAAAGCCTCTTGTCAAGCAGCTCTTATCAGCCAGACTCACCCAAAGAAAAAGGCCTCTGTACACAAAAGCAGACAGAGGCCTGACGTTTGAATGACACAAAAAAACACAACTAATCCTGGTTTCTGACACATAGAGAGCAATGGAGAGCACCGGAGGAGAGGTCAGATTAAAACAGGGCACATAGGGAGAGGCGTTTCATTGAACTCACCTCCCTCTTCTTGTTATTATCATTCAGTATGATCAGAGCACATCTAAGACCCTTGTTTTTATGAATATGTCCACATCTGAAGATGAGAAACAATAATCAGACTATTGTTTTAGTTCAAATCACTCGGTGTACAGTACTAATATGTGGATTGCTACTATTTATAAGCACTTCGTGGAAAGATTAGTCAGTGGCAGTGGTGCATGAATGGGTGACATGAAGAGAATAAGTGAATGGTAGGTCTTTAATTAGAGGTGATGCTTTGTGAATGGCTGTGGTGTTTTGGAACCTTTGTTTTGACATGGTTAAAATGGCTTGCCCACACCTCGGCTGAATCCCTGCTGGTTACATCATTAATGAGCTAAACAGAGGTGGTGGGAGGACAGTTTGTTGTTATTATAATAGCAGAGCGGTACAGCAGGCTCTTATTCCAAAGGGCTCATTTTGGAGAAAACAAAAGGTCTGTTGTTGTTGTTTTGCCAGGCAGATGCTGTAGTATGTGTATGTTCATCACACTATCATTACCTGGTAAATCTATCAGTTTCAGCAGCTAATAGCACAGGACACATGATGAAGGTCATAGCACATTGGCAGGTGACTGAATTACTGAGCACAGAGTGAGACACAGACCTTTACAGTTACCTCACTTGCTTCATTCAAGGCTGACATTTACAGCTAATTTATTTATTTATTCACTTGACATTTTGATGCTTTCCCACTTATTTTCTCACTTATATATGTATAAGTAATTAATCACCCTGTCAAACTTCTGTTTCTCTTGATAAGTGCCTGTGTGGCTTCAGTGTATCACTGAATGAGACGTGTTTATTTAACACATCAAAGTTTGGCGAAGAAACAGGATTTGGACATTGTTGCCTGTTTGCACTTTATGGTCAAAACTTGTTATAAAAACACCACAAAAGACAGCTGTTTGTTTTTTTTTACTTAAGCCAGCTCTCCCACACACCAAAGACTGTAGTAACACTGTCACAGTCACAGACTCCAACCTCAACAGTGAGTCAGCGGACTCACAAACCTACAAACAAATACCTCTGTCAGCAAACCCACACAAATCCTCACCAAGGACGCCTGGAGAAGTTTCCATCTGCCTGAGTCACGTTCTGTTTGTCCTTTGGTTTGGTTTGTATGTCTGTCACTTGTGTCATATGTCTGTTCTTTGGCTTTATCGTCACACAAATTATGTTTTATATGAGGAAGGAGGAAAGATTTGATGACTAATCTGCTATTTGTAGCTCAGCAAAACTGAAGTGATTTTGCTGACGTCTATATTGTTTTTTTTTTCTTTCCCGTAATCTTTTTTTTTTTTTACATACCATCTTATCTAACATGCTGTTGTATCCTTTCCTTCCTCTTGTGATGATTATTTTGAACACCTACTTATCAATAGTTAAGTTGTTTAGCTGTCAAAGATTCTGTTTACTTTTATTGTCCAGCAACCAAATAGCAAAAGATTTACATAATTCAGAAGATGGAATGAGGTTGTATTTGCTACATTTTCTTAAAAACCGACCTTCAATTAATTGTCACAATATTTGCAGATTAATTTTCTGTTGTTGGAATAATCAATTATCAGTACTACCAGTAATTTGCCAATCATTTTAGCTCTATTACAGACATTGCTCATGTTTTCTAAATCAAAATAAGTTTTAAGTATAATTCAAAACCTAGTTCTTGATTGATGTATTATTATTTGCCACTATCAATCAGTGGCCATTTAGTTTGTAACTCCTTTCTTTGCATTGCTTTATTATTTCAAATCAAATCAAATCAAATTTTATTTGTATAGCGCCAAATCACAACAAAAGTCATCTCAGGACACTTTACAAAGTAAGGTCTAGACCTTACTGTTATCAATATTATTACAGAGGGAAAACCCAACAAATCCCCCTTGAGCAACCACTTGGCGACAGTGGGGAGGAAAAACTCCCTTTAACGGAAGAAACCTCCGACAGACCCCGGCTCTTGGTGGGCGGCCTTCTGCCTCGACCGGTTGGGGTGAGTGGATAGAGGAGAGACAAAAGAAGAAAAGCAACAAGACACAACAATCAAACACTGATCAGGTCGATGTGGCCGGTGACTGCTCGTCAGAGAC